GAGAAGGGTGGAGCCCCCGTGCCAGTCCTGGACTGCGTACCTTACTATTCAGCCTTAAACAAGGAGTAAATTCTGCCATTAGAGACAATATGGATGAACCTGGAGAACACTGTGCTAAACGAAATAAGCCGGACACAGAAAGACAATTACTGCATGATCTCACTTACACGTGTAATCTAAAAAAGTCAAACCTGTAAAAGCAGAGAGGAGAATGGTGGCTATCAGGGGTGAGAGGGTGGGGGTGGGGAGATGCTGGTCAAAGGGTACAAAGGCTCAGTTATGCAGGAGGAATAAGTTCTGGAAACCCAATGCACAGCATGGTGACTATAGTTAGCAACACTGTATTGTATACTTGAAATTTGCTAAGAGTTGATCTTAAGTGTTCTCACCACAAAAAAACAATGGCAACTGTATGAGGTGATGGATATGTTCATCAGCTTGATTGTGGTGATCATTTCACAATATATGCATATATCAAAAATCACACTGTATACCTTAAATATATGTCATTTTTATTTGTTAAGTGTACCTCAATAAATCTGGGGGAAGAACCACTATACTTTAGATAAGTCATCATTATTTGGGGGGAAAGAGTTCTATAACTTTCATCTGAATCAAATCTTAACAAATAAGTACCTCCAATCTACTCATGGGGTTAAACCAGTGGCTCTCAATCAGGGGAGACTTTTTTCCCCTGGGAACATTTGACAATGTCTGGAAATATGTTTGGTTGTCACACCTGTAGGGGTACTATTGGCATCCAGTGGGCCCAGGCCAGGATGCTGCTAAACACTGCACAATGAACAGACCAACAATAAAGAATTATCTAGCTCAAAATGCCAATTTCACCAAGATTGAAAAACCTTAGGTTAAAAATGCCTCTCAGGGCCGGGCGTGGTGGCTCACGCCTGTAATCCTAGCACTCTGGGAGGCCGAGGCGGGCGGATTGTTTGAGCTCAGGAGTTCGAAACCAGCCTGAGCAAGAGCGAGACCCCGTCTCTACTAAAAAATACAAAGAAATTAATCGGACAACTAAAAATACATAGAAAAAATTAGCTGGGCATGGTGGCACATGCCTGTAGTCCCAGCTACTCGGGAGGCTGAGGCAGAAGGATCGCTTGAGCCCAGGAGTTTGAGGTTGCTGTGAGCTAGGCTGACACCACGGCACTCTAGCCTGGGCAACACAGTGAGACTCTGTCTCAAAAAAAAAAAAAAAAGCCTCTCAGGAAGGTCAGTGATAAAATTCCCCTTGTTCATTACAATAAACATGGTGAAAGAATGAGGTATACTCAACAGTCACCAAGTACCTCAAACTGTACAAATACAGTTTTCAAAAAGTCAGAGTACAATGAAAGACATGACATGACAGCTAGCCTGGACTTCAAATTGGTAGCAAGTGGGAGAACACTCCATTTAAAGAGATCCTCAATACTAGTCTCATGTTATGATCACTTTTTAAAAATACTGATGCCCAGGTTCCCCTCCAGACCAACTACACGAAAATTCCTGGGGATGAAGCCCAGGCACTGGTTTTTTTTGTTTGTTTGTTTGTTTTTCTGGAAGAGTAAATAATTTTCACTGGAGTACTTTTTACCAATTGGATGAAGAATTATCCAAGGCAGGCAGCAGTGCATGCTTTCCTGGGCTACAATCTGTCCATGCCTTTATAAGAAGTCTGCAAGGGCAGACCTTTCATTTCTCCTTTGGTGTTATTTTGACCCTGCTTTATCTTCTAAATAAAGGAACACTTGGTATTTTCTCTGCTATCACTGTCATTGTTGAGTTTCACTAATGGACACACCTTCATTCTGAGCTCTGGTTTGCCTTCCTTGATTGTGGCATCATCTCCCCACCCACACCAGCAGTGGGAAATCTACTCAGCTGCTCTTTAATATCCTGTACCAAGATGGCATTCACATTTCTGGCTCCTGTGTTAGCAGAGTTGGTCACTGCTCCTACTAGAAAACCATGAAAAATTAAAAATATTGGACCAGTGTAGTCACCACTTCTTCAGTTTGACATGTTGGATCCAGAAAAGAAGAAAAAGGAAGTAGCTACAAAGGACAAGAGGATATTCAACTGTACCCTTTTTTAAGGCCTGAGCAGTTCCAATATATAGCCAGGGTTAAAAACCACTAAATTTAATATATTTGAAGGATGTATTTCTAGCTCTATAATCCTACTGTGAAAACACTTCACGTTGACTCAGAAAACAACCAAACTTCCAGGACCGCACATATCACCCTCAAAGTTTTTTGTGTTTTGCTTTGTTTTGTGTGGATTCCAGCCTAGCAGAGCTGAATGACTTTATTTCCTTTAGAAAATATGCATCTATCTACCAAATATGTATGAAATCAAGGTGATGTGTTCATCAACTGCTGATTCTAAATAAAACACACTCCCTGCACTAGGCAGCCTATCCCAAAATTTTACTCAGAGCAATTTAATGATAGTGACCTAAAACGCTAATATAGTCAGACAGCAGAGTACTCTAATTGTACCAGAAAAACAACAGAACAGCTCAGACTATGATTAAAGAAAGCAACTCCACGGGTTTTGGGAGGCTAATAAGCCTCAGCAAAGACTTTAGACAAGAGTCTAATAAAAAGTAATTCCGACTGTCAATACAATAAGCAAACCTGACCCTTGAACAGGAGAGTAATTTTTTATATCAAACAAACAGTAAGTAACCAAGTAACAATGTAACAGAGGGAAAGGCCTGAAAAAGGGTAAAATGTCCTATGAGTTGTCTCTTTAAAATCTCCTCCACTCTTTTTGGGAATTAAAACCTGTAGTCCTGCCCAAGGCAAGTAATCAGAGGGGCATGGGACTGTCCTTTGTACCACAGGAGATGCCGTAAAGGAACTGTCCAGGGGCGGAGGTCACCAAATTGTCTTCCCTGGAGAAGGGATAGATCAGGATGATCAACTGTGTAGTTAAACAACAATAGCCTGAAACAAAAACCCCCCTATAAAAGCTCTGTATTTCTGCTTCTAGATAGGACATTGGTACTTTAAGACAGGAGTCTGACAACCTACTCATTTGCTGGCAAATTAATAAACCTCCCTTTCCTTCTCCTCAAACCACTTGTCCTTAGTCTTCTGGTGTGGCCTCAGGGACAAGTGTAGAACTTTCAGTAACAAGATAACTTATGTAACATCACCTATGTTTTGGAGCAAAATATCAATCTCTGCTATTGCATTTGTTTCTGACAGACCTTCTAGTTACAACTGTGCACGAAGCAGAGAATAAATGGTAGCACACCCGAGGGCTACCATTTATTCTCTGCTTTTTCCCCATAAAAATCCCAAGCTCCTCCTACTCATAGCCAATGCTTCCCCTCTCTTTCCCTCTGTCTCTCTCTCTTCTCTTCTCTCTCTCTCAGAAAGTAAAAGAAACTTTTTACTTCTTTCTATCCTCATCTTTGTGTTGAGAATTCTTTCTCATCCCATGCACAAATTTCCACCCTAACATACATGGCCGCCCATACTTTGTTGTACTTAAGCATAAAAAAGGACAATTTCCTCTGTATCTTTGGTTCTTAATTCTGAAGGCTTTCATGTATACAGGGTAAAATAAATCTGTACGCCTGTTCTAGAAATCAATCTGCCTCATGCCAGTGATTTTTCAGCGAACTTTTAGGGTTTCAAGAGTCTTGGTCCCTATAATACTATAACAACGTGGATGAACCTTAAAAACATGCTGAGTGAAAGAAGACATATATTACATTAGCATATGCTGTAAAAAGAAAACTAAACACACATAAACACATTCACCCCTAAAATATATCAGATATTCTAAGGGAGATTGTGTTCCCCTATAAAAGACACTCCTGTAGTATTTTCAAATGTGTTTTCTCGAAACAATTAATCAAGAACCTCTTATTCCCAAAACTGAGTCTCTGCATTTTCTAAGAAAAGTGAAACCAACACAATGTTCTACGTTGTAATTAAAAAAAACATTTTCTTTCAATGCTTTTCTAAAAGGGCAGGCATCTGAGCAGCTAAGTAGGTACTCGTAACAACTGAAGTGCTTTTAATCTATTATAACCTAATTACCATTGACCTTTGAACAACACAGGTTTGAACTGCACAGCAGCACTTAATGGGGTTTTCTTCTGCCTCTACCACCCCTGAGACAGCAAGACCAATGCCTCCTCTTCCTTCTCTTCCTTAGCCTACTTAATCTGAAGATGTAAACCTTTATAATAATCTACTTCCACTTAATTTTTTTTAATAGACAGGGTCTTGCTAAAGGCTGGAGTGCAGTGGCACAATCATAGCTCACTGCAGCCTCAAACTCCTGGACTTAAGCGATCCTCCTAGCTCAGCCTCCTAATTAGCTGAGACGTCTTACAGGTGTATGCCACTATACCTGCTAATTTTTTTTCTTTGTTTTTTCTGGAGACAGGGTCTTACTGTGTTGCCCAGGTTGGACTCAAACTCCTGGCCTTTAGTGATCCTCCCACCTTGGCCTCCCAAAGTGCTGGGATTACAGGCATTAGCCACCATACCTGGCCCACTTCCACTTAATAAATAGTAAATGTATTTTCTCTTCCTCATTACTTTCTTAACGTTTTCTTTTCTCTAGCTTACTTTATTATAAAAATACAGCATATAATATATCTAACATACAAAATATGTGTTAATTCACTATGTAATCGGTAAGGTTTCCGGTCAACGGTAAGCTATTAGTAAAGTTTTGGAGGAGTCAAAATTATATGTGGATTTTTGACTTGGAAGGTTGTCGGTGCCTCTAATCCCTACATTATTCAAGAGTGAACTGTATTTGAAAAACCTAATACTTTGAAAAAAAACTAATTCTAATTCCACTGTTAAGGAGAAGCCGGATAAGTTTACTTGTCACTAAAATGGTAAGATTTATGGACTTCTTTTGTTTGTTTCCCTGAAAGTCACTTGTGTTTTGTTTTTTGTTTTTTTACCTAACTAGGCAGGGGATGATAATCACTAGCTATTGTGCTATAACTAAAGATCAAATACCTTAGTTGCTTCAAGAACTCCACATCAGAGTTGCTGTTTATGAGCTTGATGAACTCTTCATAAGAAGGAGCATAAGTGTAGGCTCTCTTGTGATGTTCACTTATCTGTTCTCTGTACTCCAACTGGGCAAGTAGCATTTGGTTAATATAATCCGGATTACTTAGAAACTCCACTACTGGCTTCAAGACTGTGGGAAGGAGAAGAAAGCACCACTGAAAAAGGTATTCTTTGAATAATTGTTTTTATATTACATAATTGAACTACATTTGGGAAACATTTTTCAACTAGCCAAATGGGGGAAATTATAAACAATTAAGATATCCAAAAGGACACACACACACACACACACACACACACACACAAGGCTGCCTATCCTTCCAGATATGTTACCAACTATGGCTAAAATCAAGTGGTCATTTTAAAAAATGAGTGAAATGTAAAGGAATAATGAAAAGAAGTCATTTGTTAGCAACCGAAGTTGCTAACAGAACTATCAAAATTAAGTTCACTTATTTTTTTCTTTCTTTCTTTTCTTTTTTTTTTTTAAATAAGGCTCAATATGTTTTGACCAGTTTAGGCTGCCGAAGATGAAAGTCAACATTCTCCCACCTAGTTACAGCAGACTCCATGGAGGAAGTTGTTAAAAAGTCAGTGACACTATTACAAATCCATTCTAGTTACTTTAGATTAAAAACTTTCTCTTTTCTCTGTGGTTGATTATATCAAATGATGGGCACAGCTGGCTAATTCCCATATGTCCCTTAGTGAACAAGGTTTGCATAGGTGTTATACAAAGTATTATCACATTAGTTTGCACACTTATTGCATTAGTCATATCAATTTCATAGGTCTACCTTTTGTTGTGAGAATTTCTGCAAGCATGATCCGTAAGCTGAGAGACCGGACATCCTTTGAGGGGAGGAGACAAAGCACCAGAACCCGAGAACACATTTGCAGAAATCTCACTTCATCATCTGAGTTCCTCAAGCATGCATGCAACACAAAAGGCCTTGGCTGTTCTTCATGTCTAAAACAACAAACAAAGGGAAAAGGAAGGAAAAATTTCTAGAAACAATTCAGTTATGTACCATTAGGTAAAAAATATTTCGAATGGACAACACATATAATAACTCTGCCACCTCCTCGACAATCTCAATAATCAAATTTCCTCCCTCAAAGACAACTTATGCAGGAATAAACATAAATGCACGGGCTTTTGGGATTTCAAACCAAACCATGAGAACTTAAGTAGCATCAAAGGTTATAGGTAACCCCCAGATCATAGCAACAATCCAAAAGGTATTTCTTTCTTTTTTTTTTTTTTTTTGAGACAGAGTCTCACTCTCTTGCCCGGGCTAGAGTGAGTGCCGTGGCGTCAGCCTAGCTCACAGCAACCTCAAACTCCTGGGCTCAAGCAATCCTTCTGCCTCAGTCTTCCTAGTAGCTGGGACTACAGGTACGCGCCACCACGCCTGGCTAATTTTTTCTATATATTTTTAGTTGTCCGATTAATTTCTTTCTATCTTTAGTAGAGACGGGGTCTCGCTCTTGCTCAGGCTGGTTTCGAACTCCTGAGCTCAAATAATCCGCCAGCCTCGGCCTCCGAGAGTGCTAGGATTACAGGCGTGAGCCACCGCGCCCGGCCAAAAAAAGGTATTTTTTTAACTAGATTATTTTTAAGTCCTCTACATGGCTCCTTAATGTGATCTACAGCTTCATTCCCCCTCGCCCCCCTCAAAAAAAGAAGCATAAACCAAGGTCACCAGGTAGCTTTCTTGACTAGGAGATCATAGTATAAAAAGTCTATGGGCATTTCTAGTGAGAAGAGGGTCCGTAAATTGATGCTACCTAACTTGATGGCAAAATGCCTTCTGTGAGACTCCCAAGTATTTTCCAACCAGTCTTGTCAACCTTGGCTGTGGACTTCAATGTCAGCACTGATCCTATTCCAGGACCATTAATTTGGAGGATCTGAGTCAAGAAAAGTCAGAAGTAGAACTTTCTATACTTCCTTTTCCATAGTATCTAAATAGCAATTCAAGGAAGACTGAGATGCTAATTTTTCTACAATCTTCCAGATAAGGAGGCAAAGCGTAAGAGATTCTTACAGTCAATAGTGGGTAATACTGAGAAGGAAAAAACCACTAAATAGAGAAAGATAAACATACTAAGTACCATACAGGAAATTAAACAAATAAATGCATACTGTTGCCTTTATGACCGATGTCTCTTGGATGAGATCGGGTGCGTTCAGGGTGATATGGCCGTAGACCCAATGTCTCTTTGAAGTTAACTCATTTCTTCTTGCACTAGATACTGAAGACTAGTTTCTAGAGTATGTACACCAAAAAAGAAAGATTTCCTCTTTGTCTTCTACAAGCTGGAGGAATTCTATCCCAATATGTGTAAAGCCAGTAACACGAAAAGAGATTTTAAAGTAAGCCTTTACGCATATACTGATATATGTTGACTTCTTTAAATGGCATCTTCAATTATTTTAAACTCTAGCTATGTTGCCAGCTAGAGTTGATATTGCAATGTAGTAAGATTAAGATGCCATTCCTTTATCATGTCAAGTACTTTTAAAGGTAATTCTTTTAAAATATGAATTTGGTTAAAACTTATTTGGCAAGGTCAGCCCCGCCAAAAATCCACTTTCACAAGAAAAGCTTCTTTAAATAATAGCAAAATCCCTCTCAAGGTATACACAATCCCTTGTCCATACCAATGGAAGGCAGGTAATAAAAACAGCCTGGTTCTCAGACTGCTACAAGCTCCCCTCCCTCCTAGAGCTGAGTTAGGGAAAAACCTTCTGAGTCAAAGGCCAGAGAGTTGTTCAAACAAGCTTGATCTATGGAAAAAGGAAAGGTGGATGCTTCCCTGGAATCTCTCTGAAAACTCCAAGCAGGATATTCCTCTAGTAAGTGGGCATCAAGTATGCTTTAAAGCTAAGAAAGGCTCATGAGGCATATGGCTACTTCTCGGTCAGGAGATGTCTAGCTAGCCTTCCGGGGGGCTGTACCATTGGTCTTGGCAGCATCTTTGTTCCATTCAGTGTGGATCGATCATTTGTTTGCTATAATTCCCAATACTTGCCTCTGGGTTCTCATTCCTTGAGTGAGCAAAAGACATTAACCTTTATAAGTTTCATATGTATAATATTACTTAATCCTCTCACTTACACCAAGAAGTAGATATCTTCATCCACATTTTACAGATGAGAAAATTAAGATCTGAATAGTAAGGTGAAGAAAGTCACAGAGGTAAAAATGATAGAAATGACTCTCAAGTCCACACTCTACATTACACCATAATCAGAGATTGCAAAGATGAAAGGTAAGAAAATTTAAGAGATAAAGGAGGAAAATAAGTGAATAAAAACATTCTTTGTTTTCCCCTCAAACCACATGCCAGTACTTGACCAGCAAATAAAATGCAGAGATTAAAAGAAGGAAACTATAAAATTAAAGATGCTATTGAATTAATAGTATAAAAGCAATCATTTCTAGATTTTCCTGAAACATGCTGGAACAAGACAGATGAAACAAAGGAAGAGGAAGCAAATGAAAAGACTTAAATGTCATCTGGATTGGCTTATAGCAGCAACAGAATAACAGCCCAGAAGTAAGGCTGACCGGAAAGCAGCCTCCACCCAGCTGCCTGACAATCAACCAAAAGATGTGTTTTATTAATGCAATTTATTATTCTTTTGTCCAACAGTAGCCAATTCAATTCGGTGCGCCCCAGGCTACCAAAGTCATTCTGCAGCCAACAGAGATCTGCACACCAATGGTGATTTCTAGGACAAGAGCACTGTTTACGTAGGGCAGGCAGATACAGATATAGCCATCAAACTTGGGCTTACTGTCTGCTGGTCTCATTGTATGATTTGTATGATATATATAAAGATATTACTTCTACAGGACAAGATCATCTATATGCAAAATGCCAGTGACCTACTGGCACATCTTCAAACACCCATACTCTCGCAGAACAGTGGTAGATTTTATTTTGTTATTTATTTGTTGTTTTGTTGTTGTTGCTGCTGTATCTCCAACTAGAGCTACGAGGAATAGCCTAATTTCCAGGAAAATAAATCTACCCTTAGCATAAGAGAACTAGAAGCCCTAAGAGAAGGAGCTAATATGGAATCAGTCCTCTGTTTCTATTATTCTGATGTTTTATCCATAACTATCTTTATATTATCCACAAAAGCAGTAATTTCAAAAGCTGGTAAATGTCTCAATGAAAACTACATCCTCATGATGAAACTAGACAATCACAAAAACACTAAATTTCTCTAACCACTTGCTCTTCTCCCAAACCTAAATCCATTGGTCTTCTAATTGGAATAAAGATTGATTTACAATATTGTCCTCTATTGGACCATCATTTAAACGCTTTAAAATGAGCATCCACTGAATTCAAACAAGTCTTTGATAGTATTTGTCAGGAAGAACTTCAGAACACTTTATATAATGGATAGTACAGCAAATTAGCAGGTACTCCAAGGGGTTGGTGAACACTCCAAAAGGAGAGGCTGAAGTTTTTAAGACTCTAGGGAGATAACCCAAGAGTCCTATTTCTCTCATTTTCCTTATTAATCCACATCCCTCCCTCCTGACTGGAAGTTACCTTCTTTGCAAGCAGCAGTATTCAAAGGGTGGTCTAGAAAGTCCTAGGTGTTTCCATGACCCCTTCTTCAAGGGGTCTGTGAGATAAAAACTACGTAGTAATATAAAAAAGTCATTTGGCTTTTTCTCTCTCATTCTCACCAGCATGGTGGTGTTTTCCAGAGGCTACATTATGTGTGATATCATCACGCTGATGGTTAACAGAAGTGTCCTGTGTACTCTTGCACTTTAAAAATTGCTTAGTTTTAATATCTAAATATGGTAAATATTGATAGATATGATAAGTGGTGAACTGATAAATGTTTAACAACTGGCTCTTCAGGAGTAAAAAACTCTAATTTGGAGCATTTGCCCATTCCATGGTGTAATACTCCCACCATGGCCTATCAAGCTGCCAGTATGACGCCACCTAACTCAAAGTTGGGAAGAGATGTGCACAGTCAGCTCTTACTTGCCAGTACAAGGTGGCTCCAGCACACCACTAAATATAACCCACATAAAAGAAAGCTCTTTGAGGTTCTCAATAACTTTTAAGAATGTGGAATGATCCTGAGACCAAAAAATCTAAGAACCACTACTGCCCTTCCCCCATACAGTGCGCTGCACACTCATTAGTTGTGAGTTTACCCACCCCCATCCCGAGTAGACCAGAATCCAGTTAATATTACTACCATGTGAGCACCTCAGTGTTGATCAGTTAGTACCAATCTGATGGTGAGTACATGTGGTGCTTGTTTTTCCATTCGTGTGATACCTCACTTCCAAGGATGGGCTCCAGCTCTACCCAGGATAATATAAAAGGTGCTAGTTCATCATTGTTTTTTGTAGTTGAGTAGTATTCCGTGGTACACGCATACCAAATTTTATTAATCCACTCATGTGGGCACTTGGGTTGTTTCCACATCTTTGCAATTGTGAATTGTGCTGCCATATACATCTGAGTGCAGATGTCCTTATTATGAAATGTCTTTTTTTTCCTTTGGGTAGATGCCTAGTAGTGGGGGTTGCTGGATCAAATGGTATTTCTATTTTTAGTTCTTTGAGATATCTCCAAATTACTTTCCACAGGGGTTGTACTAATTTGCATCCCAACAGCAGTGTATGAGTGTTCCTACCTCTCCACATCCACGCCAGCATTTATTGTTTTGGGACTTTTTGATAAAGGCCATTTTCACTTAAGTTAGGTGATAACTCATTGTGGTTTTGATTTACATTTCCCTGATGATTAGAGATGTTGAGCACTTTTTTATGTTTGCTGGCCATTATTCTGTCTTCTTTTGTAAAGTATCTGTTCATGTCCTTTGCCCACTTTTTAAGGGGGTTGATTTTTTCTTGTTAATTTTCTTAAGTTCTATATAGATTCTTGTTATCAGCCCTTTATTGGATGTATAGC